AATTAATACATGCAAAGCACTTAAAAAGCTGTGTAGTAATTGGGCCGGGCACAGCAGCTCACTCCTGTAACCTTAGCACTTTGGGAGGCCAAGGCAGGTGGATTACCTGAGCTCAGGAGTTCAAGACCAGCCTGGGTAACACCGGTAAACCCCATCTCTACTAAAACACAATTAGCTGAGCAAGGCAGCGTGTGCCTGTAATCCCAGCTACTGAGGGAGGCTGAGGCAGGAGAATCACTTGAACCTGGGAGGTAGAGGTTGCAGTGAGCTGAGATCATGCTATTGCACACCAGCCTGGGCAACAGAACAAGACTCTGTCTCAAAAAACAAGAACAAACAAAAACTGCACAGTAGATAATAGATGTAGATGCTTAATAAATGTTACTAGCAGTAGTAATAGAGTTGTAGTAACAATAATTGTCATTTCTCTTGGAGTTAGGTCATTCATCTATCCCTACTGCTTTCCCATACTCCCCAAACATAGGCACACTGTTTACAAAGTTAAAACCTTTTTCTAAAATAGCGCTATTCAATAGAACTTTCTGCAATAATAGAAATGTCCAGGCCAGGCACGGTGGCTCATGCCTATAATCTCAGCACTTTGGGAGTCCAAGTCGAGTGGATCATGAGGTTAGGAGATCGAGACCATCCTGGCCAACACGGTGAAACCTTGTCTCTACTAAAAATTTAGAAATTAAGCCGGGCATGGTGGCTCATGCCTGTAATTCCAGCACTTTGGGAGGCCAAGGCATGTTGATCACTTGAGGTCAGGAGTTCAAGACCAGCCTGGCCAACATGGTGAAACCCCATCTCTACTAAAAATACAAAATTAGCTAGGTGGTGGTAGCTGTAATCCCAGCTCCTCCAGAATCGCTTGACCCGGGAGGCAGAGGTTGCAGCAAGCCGAGATCTCACCACTGCCTGCTGGATAGAGTGAGACTCTGCCTTAAAAAAAAAAAAAAAAAAAATTAGTTGGGCATGGTGGCACGTGCCTGTAATCCCAGCTACCCAGGAGGCTGAGGCAGGAGAATCGCTTGAACCTGGGAGGCGGAGGTTACAGTGAGCCAGGATCACGCCACTACACTCCAGTCTGACGACAGAGCAAGACTCCATCTCAAAGAAAAAAGAAAAGAAATGTCCTACGTCTGTGCTCTTCAGTTTGGTAACCACTGGCAACATGTGGCTAATGGTGACTGTGTTGGACAGTACAGATCTAAAGTGCCGTCTTTCCTCTAGTTTCATTATATGATATATTTTACCAACACTTTTTCAAATTATATGATATTTTTCCCCTTAAAAGATACATATTCTTTCTTTCTTTTTTTTGTTATTTTTTCTTTGAGACGGAGTCTTGCTGTTTCACTCAGGCTGGAGTGCAGTGGCGCAGTCTCAGCTCACTGCAACTCTGACTCCCAGTTTCAGAGAGTTCTCGTGCCTTAGCCTCCCAAGTAGCGGGAAATTACAGGTGTGGGCTCCTACGCCTCACTAATTTTTGTAGTTTTAGTAGAGACGGTATTTCACACCATGTTGGCCAGGCTGGTCTCAAACTCCGGACCTTAAGTGATCTGCCCCCCTCGGCCTTCCAAAGTGCTGGGATTACAGGTGTGAGCCACTGTGCCCGGCAAGAGGTATATATTCTTACATTGCATTTATAATTTCTTTAAGCCCTGTATCTCAAATCCAAATCCACATTCTAGTCTAGAAAGTTTCCATTACTACTTTGCTGAAGGCTGTGATATATTTTGTTTTTTCTTTTTTCTGTTTCATAGTACTGATAATTTCCAAGTTAGAGGCAAGAACTTGGAAGCTTTGTCTGGCATTTCACAAATTAAATAATTTTAGAGCAACAGTTGTGTTTTAACTAGACTAGTATATTACTTAGGTTTTCTAATTGGGGTAGAAGATAGATCCCCTAGGGGAGGTAAAAGTTTTTGACCAGGAACAATAAGGCTATATGAAGGACAACAGCCTCTTTAGTCACTATTCTTGTGGGATTTGAGGGTAAAGAAGACCTCAGCCAGTGTCTCAGCACTTCAGATTGATGTGGTAACTGTTGCCAGGGAAGATTTCTGGCTGGGTGAGGTAAATAATGCCTGTAATCCCAGCGCTTTGGAAGGCTGAGATAGAGGATCGCTTGAGGCCAAGAGTTCGAGAACAGCTTAAGCAACATAGCAAGACCCCGTCTCTACAGAAAATTTTTTAAATTAGTTGGATATGGTATTATGTGCCTGTGGTCTCTGCTATTCGAGCAGCTGAGGTGAGAGGATTGCTTCAGCCTGGGAAAGTCAAGGCTGCAGTAAGCCATGATTGTATCACTGCACTCTAGCCTGGGCGACAAAGCTAGACCCTGTCTGAAAATAAAGAAAGAAGGGGAGGGAAGGAGAGAAGGAAAGGAGGGAGGGAGGCAGGGAGGCAGGCTCATTTCTATGGTCAGATCCTGTGGTCTGGGATTAGTGTCGGTTTTATTTATTTTATTTTTATTTATTTATTTTTTTTGAGACGGAGTTTCACTCTTTGTTGCCCAGGCTGGAGTGCAATGGCGCGTTCTTGGCTCACTGCAACCTCTGCCTCCTGGGTTCAAGTGATTCTTCTGCCTCAGCTTCCCGAGTAACTGAGGTTACAAGCATGCGTCACCATGCCCAGCAAAATTTTTGTATTGTTACTAGAGACAGGGTTTCTCCATTTTGGTCAGGCTGGTCTCAAACTCCCGACCTCAGGTGATCCGCCCACCTCAGCCTCCCAAAGTGCTGGGATTACAGGCGTGAGTCACCATGCCCAGCCTAGTGTAGGTTTTATTAGGAAAGTATTCAAAGTAGCTGACACGGACAAGCACAGTGGCTCACATCTGTAATCTCAACACTTGGAAGGCCAAGGCGGCAGGATTGCTTGAACCCAGGAGTTTGAGACCAGCCTGGGCAACATAAGGAGACTCCATCGCTACAAAAAAATTAAAAAATTAGTAGGGTGTGGTGGTGCTTGCCTATAGTCCTGGCTATTTGGGAAGTTAAGGTGGGAGGATCCCTTGAGCCCAGGAGGTCAAGGCTGCAGTGAGCCATGATTGTGCCACTGCACTCCAGCCTGGGTAACAGCAAGACCCTACCTCAAAAAAAAAAAAAAAAAAAAAAGAAAAAAAAAAAAGAAAGAAAGGAAAAATAGTTGATGCCACTTGGTGTTCTTAGATGCTCACCCTGTAACCTTGAGAACTGGTGCCTTCTCAGTAAATCATATTGTTCCCATAAGTTAGATCACAAGAAAGACAGTTCTCTGCTCTACCTTCTCAACCTGGAGACTTTGTAAATGACACCAATAAAGCAATTTGAGCAGGGCTTTTCAAACGGCGTTCCCATAACCTGTTACTGAAAGGGGAAGCAAAGCTCTCCACCTAGATTGGAGCACCTCAACTGCTGTCAGGTTAATGTAGTGTTGGGATTCCTTCTGTTTGAGATATCCTTTGAAAATGAATCTTGCAGCTTTATTTATTTATGTTTTGAGACAGAGTCTCACTTTGTCGCCAGGCGCCAGGCTGGAGTACAGTGGCGCAGTCTTGGCTCACTGCAATCTCTGCCTCCTGGGTTCAAGCAATTCTCCTGCCTTAGCCTCCCGAGGAGCTGGGACTACAGGCACCCAGCTAATTTTTGTATTTTTTAGTAGAGATGGGGTTTCACCATGTTGGCCAGGATAGTCTCAATTTCTTGACCTTGTGATCCCCCTACCTCGGCCTCCCAAAGTGCTGGGATTTACAGGCGTGAGCCACCGCTCCCAGCCCCTGCAGCTTTAACCAAAAAGAAAAAAAAAAATTTAAAAAAATGTATTCTTGGCCGGGTGCTGTGGCTGATGCCTGTAATCCCAACACAAAATTTAGAAGGCCAAGGTAGGTGGATCATCTGAGGTCAGGAGTTTGAGACCAGCCTGACCAATATGGTGAAACCCTGTCTCAACTAAAAATACAAAAATTAGCCGGGCATGATGGCAGGTTCCTGTAATCCCAGCTACTCAGGAGGCTGAGGTGGAAGAATCACTTGAACCCAGGAGGTGGTTGAGGTTGCAGTGAGCTGAGATTGTGTAATTGCACTCCAGCCTGGGCGACACAGTGAGACTCCATCTCCAAAAAAAAAAGTATTCTGGTATTTACTGACGTGGATGTTGGGACAAGTTACTTTGGTCTTGAGTAAACTAAAGGTGACATGTAGAGTGAGGGATGGGGAGAAATAGCAGTTGTAGATTGTGGAAAAATTATGCTCCTGTTATTCCCAAAGTTTTCCAGCATAAGCCAAGCTTTGTTTTTTTCAGAATTTAGTCAGTATAGGCCAGAGGTCCAGCCTAGACGGTATTTGGTGTAAGGCTCATGGTTTCATTGGAATTCCTTCACATCAAGCCTTGAAAGTCTGCCCCATTTGTGCTAGGCTGAGGCCCTCTGGTTATGTGAAGCACATAGCTAGGGGCCTAGAGGTCCCTATGTTAACATTTGACTCACAGGACAAATCAGAATTGCATTCTGCCTCCTTTTTTACTTGTGTTCTGTAACAAGTTATTTTTAAGTTGCATCCAGACATCCAGTCTCTCTATATATTTCTCTGTGAATCCTCTACATTTTTTTTCTTTGTGACCTGTTGTTAGAGATGGGAAGGAGTGCTCATTTATTGAGCACTTACTATGTGCCAAGCATTGTGTTAGGTGCTTTAAATATACTATTTAATACTCAAAACTGCCTTATGAGATAGGTACTGTCATCCCTAATTTTAGGTGAGCAAATTATAAACATGAGAGAGGCTAAGTAACTTTCCTCTCAGATTTCTCTGTGTTAATAATAAAAGAGGTGTGAATTAGTGATGATTTTCTCTCTGACTCTCAAACCCAGTTTTCTTTTCACCTTTCCCCTGTACTTTCTAGTATTGCTTCCCCTTTTGTTACTCTTTCAGGGAAAGGTGATCTATGGAAAGCCTAACTACGGATTGTTGTGAGATCCTGAACCCTAACCATGGTGTTACTGACTTTTCCAGGCTCCTATCCTTCCCCCAAAGCTGGAGCAACTCTGGTCGTGTACAAGGACTTGCTAGTGCTGTTTGGTGGCTGGACGCGGCCAAGCCCTTATCCCCTACATCAGCCAGAGAGATTCTTTGATGAAATACATACTTATTCCCCCTCTAAAAACTGGTAAGTAACAGATAAACTCTTTAAATCTGGAAGAAAAGGCCTTAAATCAGTGGATTCTCGGTTTTTTTGTGTCAAGAGTCCTTTCGAGAATTAGATGGAAAGCTGTGAACTCTGTTCCCAGGAGAGGAAAAATGTACATATACACAGATTTTACCAACAGTTTTAGAGAGTTTATAGGAATCCTAGAACCCTGCATTTAGAGCCCTTATTCTAAAGAGAAAAAGTAGAAGAGATTTATTCCTCTTCCAAGAAAAATGAATGAGCCAGTTGAAGAACAGCGAGCTCTTCAGCTTTGGCTGCTAACACTCCAGGAGTGCTATAGATCCAGATGGTTTCTTACTCCTGACTGTGTCTCCAAGACAATTCCTGTGTCTGAATTGTTTTTCAAACGTATATGTTTTAATGACAGCAGCTGCTGTTTCTTGTAATGGAATACTTAGTACATGGTGCTCGTTAGCTGTTACTGATCAGGACCATAGACAGGTAGCAGGTAGCAAGTGGTGCTCTGTCAGCAAACCAGGCCAAAGCAGCCAAGAAGCCATGACCCTGTCCCTTGTCATCGTCTTCTTATCTCTCTCCCTCCAGACCATTTACATTCCGAGTTTGAAACTGAAGATAACTTTAAGCAAACTTTTGCCAAGTTTGTAGGAAAGGCATAAATACCTCATACCATTTATTAGCCCAACAAATCTCTGCTGAAGCTGATAGGATTATCACTTTACATGGATGCCTACTCACTGTTTTTCACCTCAAACACATAAAGTGTGTGGTGCTGACTTCTTGGCTTCCTCCTGTCTTTTTACATTAGGTGGAACTGCATTGTGACAACCCATGGGCCACCTCCCATGGCTGGCCACTCCTCCTGTGTGATAGATGATAAAATGATTGTCTTTGGTGGCTCTTTAGGATCCCGGCAAATGTAAGTACATTTGGTTTGTTCCATATGAGCCCAAAGGTAAATACTGCTGGGAATAACAGGTTAAAAATGTGAATTAGGGGCCAGGCAGGGTGGCTACGCCTGTAATCCCAGCCCTTTGGGAGGCCAAGGTGGGTGGATCACCCGAGGTCAGCAGTTCCAGACCAGCTTGATGAACATGGCAAAACTCCATCTCTACTAGAAATACAAAATTTAGCAGGGCGTGGTGGTGCACGCCTGTAGTCCCAGTTAGGAGGCTAAGCCAGAAGAATTGCTTGAACCTGGGAGGTGGCAGTTGCAGTGAGCCAAGATCTTGACATTGCACTCTAGCCGGGGCAACAGATCAAGACCCGTCTCAAGAAAAAAAAAACAAAAGTGAGTTAGGGTCAGTATTCCTGAGCATGGCTCTAATTAATCCAGTTAGTTACCTCATCCTAGCATTCTGTTCTTTGATCCCTTAATCACAGACCAATAAGTTAGGAAATTTGATCTATAAAATCATAGTTGTGGCTGTCCACGGTAGCTCATGTCTGTAATCCCAGCACTTTGGGAGGCCGAAGCAGGCAGGTCACAAGATCAGGAGTTCGAGACCAGCCTGGTCAGCATGGTGAAACCTCGTCTCTACTAAAAATACAAAAAATTAGCCGGGCATGGTGGTGCGTGCCTGTAAACCCAGCTATCTGGGAGGCTGAGGCAGGAGAATTGCTCAAACCCAGGAAGCAGAGGTTGCAGTGAGCCGAGATCACACCACTGCACTCCAGCCTAGATGACAGAGTAAGACTCTGTCTCAAAAAAAAAAAAAAAAATATTTGTATTGCATCTCTTTGACACAGAGTTTTATTTAGTGGGATCAAATTCTGATGGAACTTCTGCCTTGCCTGCTGTACTGTGCCTACAGAAGGCCAACTTCCAAGAAACTGAGTGCTTTTACTTATTGTATTACCCAGCTCTTACCCTTTTGGGCTTTAGAGGAGGAGCGGGGAGATTGATAGGACAAGTGGCAATAGTGGGCCCTCCAAATGTGATGGATTGGTTGAACCACCTGTAAAGGGCATGGAAAGAAAGAAAGAAGGAAAGAAAAGAAAACAAAAAGGCTGGGCACGGCGCCTCACGCCTGACACAGTTTTCTTGCTCCTACCCAATCCACAATGCATCCCTTTTTTTTTTTTTTTAATTCTCCTGCCTCCGCCTCCTAAGTAGCTGGGATTACAGGCACCTACCACCACGACCAGCTAATTTTTGTAATCCCAGCACTTTGGGAGGCTGAGACAGGCGAATCACTTGATGTCAGGAGTTTAAGACCAGCCTGGCTGACATGGTGAAGCCGCATCTCTATTCAAACTACAAAAATTAGCAGGGCATGGTGGCAGGCGCCTGTAATCCCAGCTACTCAGGAGGCTGAGGCAGGAGAATTAAAAAAAAAAAAGGGGGGTGGGGAGGGATGCATTATGGATTGGGCAGGAGCAAGAAAACTGTGTCAGGTGTGACACTTCTGTGAGGTCATTCTCCCTACCTCCTGTCCTCTCCACTTCTGGCCATAACTGTTCAGCTCAAGCCGTAGCCAAGAGCCAGAGCATTCCATCTGTATCACTGTCTGTCTGATTCAGTGGTAAAAGCAGTCGTGGTCATTCTCACTGTGCTCTGAAGTAGAAGTTGATGAGCTGTCAGCAGCAAGACTGTCCCACTCCTGTCCTCCCTTAGGGTATTTTCATCTTCATACTTTAAAACAGTTCTGGAGAGAGATGATAGGAGCTACTCTCCCAATGACAGAGTTTAGGATTTCAGATGTTAGAACTATTATTCCTGTATTCCTGTGTGTGAATCAATGACCTTAAATGACCATAAAAGAGATGCTGCCATCCAGGAGTCTGTCCTTGTCTTGTTTGTCCCTTGAGGGTTAGAGATGCCAGTTTGTCCTTGATAAAACTGCAGCTTTCATTAGCCACTGTAAAATTACTTTTTGTAGCCAGAATCGATAAAGCTTTTAACTCCTGGACAATGATTAAGCTGGCTTTTGAATCATTTTTTTCTCTTCCTTGAGGTTTTTGCTTTCGAAAGACTATAGCTTGACCAGTATCTATTTCCTGCTGTCACCAATTAACCATTTTTTTACTCATCTGCTTTTACTTTAGTTAATGGATGGTTACAAAATCATCATCTCATCAGGTACTAGTTTGGGGATGCAGACATGGCTCAGATGAGGCCTTGTGGAAAGAGCAGAGGGAATGTCTCAGGATGACTGCTAGGGAAAGTAGGGGAAGAAAAATACAGTGTAAGTGCTAACTAGGACCATAACACTTTGCTGGGCATCTTTATAAAGGTCCCTTCATTATTATCAGCTCTCCAGAGTAGTAACAGTATTTTCATTTTATAGATAAGGCCAGAGTTAGAGAAAATTAAGTGACTTGTTCAGGGAACAGAGCTGGGATTCAGCAACATGGTCTTTCTGGTTCTGAAGGCCCTGAGCTCTGAATAGGCCATCTCTAAAACCTCCTCCAGCCCACACAGTCTGTGAAAGTAAAAATGGTGCAAGTTTGCCAGATGGGCACAGGCATGAGGAACTCCCCTGCCACCACTGTGGTCCCTGGGAGCTCCTAACTCCCTTTATCCTTCTGTCCTTGATTCACAGGAGCAATGATGTCTGGGTCCTTGACCTTGAGCAGTGGGCGTGGTCCAAGCCGAACATCTCCGGCCCCAGTCCTCATCCTCGAGGTGGCCAATCTCAGGTGCTCAGGAATTAAAATAACTATTCAGCAAACACTGTAGCATCTTTCAGTTAGGACGGGAGAGGGAGGAGGGAGTCAGGTAAGATGCCAATATGCACTAAGCCAAAGAAAATGTGTCATTCTTTTTTATTGGTATTTATTTTTCAACTACTGATGGGTCATATTATTGATAGCGGTTTTATATTATGCTCCTTCCCAAAGCATTTACTTTGCTGTGTCATTTCGCAGGAGAATCCTGCATTTTACATGGTTGACATCCATGTTAATATTTGATCAACAAAGAATGTATCCTTTCAGGTGATCTATCAGCAGTTTGTTCACAGGGATCAGAATTGGCATGTTTTTAGGAGAATAGGGAGGTTATGGTAACTAGAACATTCCCATTAGGGAGCTAGGTAGGCTATTTTCATATACCGGTGAAGCATAGAAAGTCAGAAACCTGTGTCTTTGTAGGTTTATTTTCAATGTCTTCCCTTCCCCAGATTGTCATAGATGATGCAACTATCTTAATCCTCGGAGGGTGTGGCGGTCCCAATGCTGTGAGTATTGCTTCTGTGGCATTCCCATGTGCATGCTGCTAAGTATTTAAAACCTGTTTCCCCTGTCTTATTTTGTAGGAGTATACAGGACTATTTCCATGGCATTTTAATTTTGGGAATGCTTTTTGGGTATAGGCTTTGTATTTTCTGACCTTTGTTTCTGGTTTTTTTTTGTTTTGTTTTTTTGTTTGTGTTTTTTTTTTTTAGGGTTGGGGGATCCTTTTCATCAGAGATAGTTGTCTCTTTAATATTCATATCTGTATTCTTCCTATTCCTATTTCCTCTTTAAGCTGTATGGTTTATTGCTATCATTTTTCCAAAGGGGAGAGGGCAGTGGGACAAAAAAGCAGGTTGATAACTGCCCGAGCTCACACAGAATCTAAGAATGCAGATTCAGAAAGACATGGGTGGATATGTCTTCTTTATCCTTCCTTCAACCCCCAGTACGCACACATAACACTATGGGCAAGAGTCAAAACCACTTACAGTTGATTCATGGGTCACAAGCACAATGCCATGTGCTAAGCCAGTGGTAATATGTGATGAATGAAAACATACATGGACGCATGCACAACTGAATAATTAACTGAGGATTTTGCTAGTCCTTCTCAAGAGCCCATATCCTTTCAAGACCAGACAGGACAGATTTGAGACTGCAGCTGTGTGTGTGTGTTTTGGAACACATATCACACCTGACTCCTCCTACTGGTTTTTCTCTTACAGTTGTTCAAGGATGCTTGGTTGTTGCACATGCATTCAGGTCCTTGGGCCTGGCAGCCACTCAAGGTAGAAAATGAAGAGCATGGGGCCCCAGAACTGTGGTGTCATCCAGCTTGCCGGGTAAGCAGGGAGCTGTCAGGCCAGCAGGAGGACAGGTCCTCAATTGGAAAACCAAATTACTTTGTCAGGTTTCAAAGAAATTTGTACAAAAATAGAAAACACCTTGGTATCACAAAAGAGGTGAACATTAGCCATAGCTCCTTTGGCATTTTTCACTAAATGGGAAAACTTATGGGGGCCCCACTCATTTGGTAAGTCCCAACTATAAGCATCTGTTTGTCTGTGAAACTTTCCCTGGAGTCCTTCTCCTTCTAACAAAAACTGATCGTTCCCTTCACCCCACCCATTCTATAAACATAACTCTAATAACAGCATATGTCACACAAAGCAAGAATTGTTCTCATGTCTGACTTCTAGCCTAGACAGCAGACTACATCCTTTTCATCTTCATATCTCAGGTACCTACAAAATGCCAGGCACATTGCAGATGCTCATGATAAAATGTTTAACAGTTGAATGAACAATCAGAATCATAGAAGAGTCTGTGAGCACTGGTCCTTTGTCTTCCAGGTGGGACAGTGTGTGGTGGTCTTCAGCCAGGCTCCTAGTGGGAGAGCCCCACTCAGCCCCAGTTTGAACTCTCGCCCATCACCTATCAGTGCCACTCCTCCAGCTCTAGTTCCCGAAACCCGCGAGTACCGCTCTCAGTCTCCAGTAAGAAGCATGGATGAAGCTCCTTGTGTTAATGGCCGATGGGGAACACTGAGACCCAGGGCTCAAAGGCAGACTCCTTCGGGTTCCCGGGAAGGGAGCCTTTCCCCAGCCAGAGGAGATGGCTCTCCTATCCTCAATGGTGGGAGTTTGTCTCCAGGAACAGCAGCTGTGGGTGGCTCTTCTTTGGACAGTCCTGTACAGGCAGTATCCCCAAGTACTCCATCTGCTGCTGAAGGATGTGACCTAAAAATGGGACTTTCTTTGGCCCCCCGACGAGGATCACTACCAGATCAGAAAGATCTGAGATTAGGATCCATAGATCTGAATTGGGATCTGAAACCTGCTTCCAGTAGCAATCCCATGGATAGCATGGACAACAGGACAGTTGGGGGAAGTATGAGACACCCTCCTGAACAGACAAATGGTGTGCATACCCCACCTCACGTGGCCAGTGCCCTTGCAGGGGCTGTCTCCCCAGGTGCCCTGCGTCGGAGTCTGGAAGCCATCAAAGCGATGTCCTCCAAAGGCCCCTCGGCCTCTGCAGCACTAAGTCCTCCTCGTGGGTCTTCTCCAGGCTCTCCTGGGAGCCAGAGCTTGAGCAGTGGAGAAACAGTGCCCATCCCTCGTCCAGGGCCAGCCCAAGGAGATGGACATTCCTTACCTCCCATTGCCCGCCGCCTGGGCCACCACCCTCCACAGTCCCTAAATGTTGGCAAACCCCTATACCAGAGTATGAACTGCAAGCCCATGCAAATGTACGTGCTGGACATTAAAGACACCAAGGAGAAGGGGCGGGTCAAATGGAAAGTATTTAATAGCAGTTCTGTGGTCGGACCTCCTGAAACCAGCCTGCATACCGTGGTACAAGGCAGGGGTGAACTCATCATATTTGGAGGACTCATGGACAAGAAACAGAATGTGAAGTACTATCCAAAAACAAACGCTTTGTACTTTGTACGAGCAAAGAGATAATGTGTTCTAAACCCCTTTCCTTTTCTGTGGCTTTTAATTTGGAATTTTCCAATGTGTAAGCATTTGGACTAAGAATGGGAAAACAAAATTACTCCCAGAAGCCAAAACTGTTTCATTCCCAACCGAAGTCACTCCAGGCTGGGATCAAATCTCCATTAAGAAAAAAAATTATATATAAATATAAATATATATATATTATATAGCCAACTCTGTTTACAAAAAGGGAGAGATCTCCATCCTGGTTCAGATAAAATTGTTGCTGTGTTTTAGCAGGGGCTGTGCTGCCTTTTTCTACTTTGCTGGTAACTAGACCAAGAAGTTAGGGAACAGACTAACTAACATCAGTAACTTTCCAAAAGAAGCTGAAGAGCCCCCCTGTAAATCTTTATGTTGCCTTCTTGGAGTTAAAAAATGAAAGGGCATATGTAAGTTGCAAAGGTGGAGGTTTTTGGACTCATGCTTCAGGTGCTGGCAGGGTAAAAGTAACTGTTCTTCCCCTTCTCTTAAAACCACAGAGGACCTGTGACAACTCTGCAGAAATGCCAATGCCTGACCCCTTTCTGCCCTTTATGGCCGAGGAAAGTTACCCAACAAGGGATTTTATTCCACATTTGTGTGCCAGGTCATCGTGAAATAATGTTGATGCAGCCGACCTCTGAAAGCCTAGTGTCCATTGGTCTTTGGAGGGCTTCTTAACGTGTCTCAGAAAACATTTTGTGTTTGATAGTGGAAATTTCTGACAATCAATTGTATTTGGTTGCAAGTTGCCAAAAAACATATTTATTCTTCTTTTTCTTCTCTTAGCACATGGTACTTGGAAACTGCCTTTTCCATGCACTTACAGGCTGCTTTTTCCCTTTATCTTTTTTTTTTTTTTTTTTTTTTTTTGGCATATGTGGATTTTTTTTTTTTTTTTGAGTCCTAAAACCTTCTCACTTTCTGTTTATTTTTCAAAGCTCAGGTGCCTACAGAAATCAGAAGCTTTTTTATTTTTAAGATGGAGTTTTGTTCTTATCTCCCAGGCTGGAGTGCAGTGGCGCGATCTCGGCTTACTGCAACCTCCACCTCCTGGGTGCAAGTGATTCTCCTGCATCAGCCTCCTGAGTAGCTGGGATTACAGGCATGCACCACCATGCCCAGCTAATTTTCTATTTTTAGTAGAGACAGGGTTTCTCCATGTTGGTCAAGCTGGTCTCAAACTCCTAACCTCAGGTGATCTGCCAGCCTTGGCCTCCCAAAGTGCTGGGATTATAGGTGTGAGCCACCACACCCGGCCCAGAAATCAGAACCTTCTTAGAAATACTTGTGGAACCCTTTCCCTGGTGTCACTAGGAGGGAATTCTAAGATGCCAATATTGTGAGAAATCTTTAAAGCATCAAAAGATACTGTTTTTTCGCAATGGGCTTGTTTTTACTTCCAAAGCACATTGAGCATCCTCATCCCATATTTGTAGAATGTGGAAATTGATTCTGGAAGGGAATTCCAATAACAGTTCTTTTTAGAAATTTTTTTTTCCTTGTTGTGACAAACATTCCTCTTCCTGGCTGTTGGCAGGTGATGGAGTTGAGAATCATGTACTTGACTTCTTGACGCATGGCTGACCTCAGGAACAGCTCCATCCTTTGCGCTTGTCTTGTTCATGTGTCACTCAAATAGGCCCTGGGTTTTTACTTTCACTTCATTTCTGAGATTAACGTATAACGAACTAGAGCATTTCTTTGCTTGATACAGAAAGTTGCTAGTCTCAGCCATGGCCTGGGCATAGGAGATGTCAAAATAAGTTTATTTCAAATGGCACCATTTAAATAGGGATTTTTGGTGATGTCTCATCAGTGGAAAGAGGATTCTTGTTTTGCCCTTAGGATTTAAACCTCAAAACATCACCTTTCCCGCCCTGACACTCCCCTTTTTCTTACTAGCGTTTCTCAGGCACAAGCCTACTGCAGCTGGTCCTGGGTCCTGGTTTTCAGCCAGCATCTAGCAGCCTAAGTGCACCGATAAGTGTATTTTCTCCCGTTACATCATGCTGAATCCCTTCCCTTAGCCATTAGCTTTTACGATGCTGTCTTGGTAGGAAAGCCACCCTGGTGCCAAGCCTAGCTTGTGGGGAGAGGTATGTGTTCCAGAAACTGCTCTCTGTTCCCTTCAATAAGGAAACGACTTGCGTCTACTTACGCGGCATCCAACTACTCGGAGCTCCGCACTTTCCTGACTTTCGGGCTCTGGCTCTGTTGCCAGTCCTTGCTTGGCAAAGACCATGTGGGGTCCTTATTTACAAGGGAAAGCTGGGCCAGAAGGTTAGCAAGTCAGGTGTTCCCACTGTTGCCGTACCTCGTGTAGGACATTGTGTCTGTGCATGGACAGTGCCTCCAAACTCAGTAGTTCCTATCTAAAGTATATTAGGAACCTGAAAGTTCAGAATCTCAACCTTATAGTCTTTCCCTTAGTCCTGTGGCCTTCCTAAGCCAGCCTTTAACGTGTTGATTCCTTCCACTTCCCCCAAGTAGGCAGGCAACAGAGATGTCGACTGTCTTAGAAAGTAATCTGGTTCCTCTGAACTCCATTGAATTCCAGTATGACCCAACTGACTGGAACTAGACTTGTTTGCTTACAGATTTTTAAGAAAAATCTACCTTGTCTGCCCCCATCGTTGTTGGTTGTGGTAGCTCCTGGGCCCTGTGGGCGTGTACCATGGGAAAGTGACTCAACACAGTGAAGGTGATTGTCTCCTCCGGCCTCCTGAAGCCACCTGTGCAGTGGAACTTGAGGCGTCTGAGCTGAGGTGAGCATTTCCACAACGCCGTGGATGCTGCGGTCAGATCAGATGTGGACCATGACTCCATTTTTCGCATGATACCAATTTTGTCTTAAAATTCACTGAAAAAAAAATGAGGCTAAATGTTTTTGTTACCCCTCAGGAACACCTGAAGCAGATATTTATCAGTATGTAAGTATTTAAGATTCATTTTGTTTCTACTTGAAGCTTTAACCCCTTCCGTTCCTGCAAGTGTGCCTTTTGAGAGCTCCCATGTCCCAGTGACTTACCGGCCACCTTGTTGACCTTATGTAAGAATTTTAGTCTCTCCCTACCCTCTTGGACAGAGTTTCCTGTTCTGTCATTTCACAGGTTATGCAGCAGAGAGGGTTCTGTGTTTTCATTCGTATTTCCACCCTTTACTTGGTTGGTGGACTCCACAACTCCAACCTGCCCCCACACTTTGGGAGCACAAATTTGGTGTCGAAACAAGCTTAAGTTTCATTTTAGGGCAATACTGTGCTTAGTCTCCTCCCAGCCCTCTGTGGATTGATTTGATTTTAATGTTCAAGTTTTATAGCAAGAGCTGAAAACCATGAACTATTCTGGGAACTGTGTTGGAATTCTAAAATAAAAGAGGAGGAGGAAGAAGAAAAGCAACCTAGGAAGTCTTGACTTTGGAGGACAGAAAGCCACCAGCCAATGGAGAACAAAGAGATGCTTCCCTTTCCTTTCACCTTGTCGCTCTGGGTTTCCTTCTGCTTCACTCTTTTTCTTCCCCTTAAAAGTGGTATTCCTGGTTGGTCTGTCTGTCTTGTCCTTGTCCTTGTGGTGATCCTGGCATGGTGATGTGCTCTGCTTTGCATTTTCCGTGGTCTCTTAACGAGCGTAGAAGTCAGTGGGGAGGATGTAAACATGCCTGGGGGTAAGGAACTTGACCTTCCAGGCCTGCATACCATGTAGCCTCTCCATGAACTGCAGAAGGCATGTTCTGCATGGTTACCAGTAATTGGCTCCCTCTCACCATGTTCACTGTCAAATGAGAGCGAACTTTAGGTGTTGGCTCCATTGTACTCTCTACTCGCTCTGCTCCCCTCCCTCCAACCAGGGTTCATGTCAGTGCACACCCCATGTGCCCTGGCGAAGCTGGTGCTGTGAGTGATGCTTCCCATACAACTCAGGGATGCCGGGTGGCTTACCCTGAGATAGTCATTTTAGGCACATAACAGTGTAGGAATGAAAAATGGATTTCATTGATATTTAAATCTCTGTCAATTTTGTTTTTTGTTAATGTTTTCCCCTGATGACTTTTTAGCAATTTAACAAATAAAGTAAAATGGACAATTGTCTTAACTGTTTCATTAGCAAACAAAAAAATAAGAGGTCTGGTCGGGCGTGATGGCTCACGCTTATAATCCCAGCACTGGGAGGCCGAGGCGGGCGGATCATGAGGTCAGGAGTTCGAGACCAGCCTGGGCAACACAGTGAAACCCTGTCATTACCAAAAATACAAAAATTATCTGGGTGTGTTGGCAGGTGCCTGTAGTCCCAGCTACTCGGAGACTGAGGTAGGAGAATCGCTTGAACCCAGGAGGCGGAGGATGCAATGAGCCAAGATTACACCACTGCAGTCCAGCCTGGGCAACAGAGTTAGACTTTGTCTCAAAAAAAGAAATGTTGAACACAGTGGCTCATGCCTGTAATCCCACTACTTTGGGAGGCTGAGACAGGAGGATCACTTAGGCCAGGAGTTTGAGACCAGCCTGGGAAATATAATGAGACCCTGTCTCTATGGAAAAAAAAAAAAAAAAAAAAAAAGCCAAGCATGGTGGTGTATGCTTGTGGTCCCAGCTACTCAGGAGGCTGAATGGGAAGATGACACTTGAGCTAGGGATGTCAAGACTACAGTGAGCCATGATTGTGCCACTGCATGCCAGCCTGGACGAGAAAGTAAGACCGTTACCAAAAAAAAAAGAAAAATTGTCTTGATGGGAAACAGTTGAGGTTGGAGATTGAAGTTAGAAGCACAGTAGTTGGAAAGAGATACCTTCTCTAGGGGGGTTGTGTTTTCAGCCAGAGGTGGAGAGTTGCCATTCCTTGGGAACAATGCCGTTTAATAATAAAGCAGCTCCCTCCATCACGCTTGAAGGGCTTTGTGTTTCAGAGCCTGGGTGCCAGCCTGCAGTGGAGACATAAGAGTGGTAATGATCTTGGAACAGAGGCCCAGAGACCAGGACATCATTTGCACCTTCCGTGGTCTCCGAGGCAAAGACAAAGACACAAGGCCCCAGGGGCGTGAAGCAGCACGGCAGACAGTGGTTTGGAACACAGTCCTGAAGCTCCGAAGGCCTATGGCTTAGTCCTGCCTTTCCCTATTTACTACTTAACCTTGGATACAAGTTTCCTCATCTGTAAATGTAGTTGCTTCCACCTTATAGGAGCCTGTGGGTTAACTGAGGTTGTATGTGAAAAGTGCTAGCACAGTGCCTGGCACATAGTAAGTTGGCAGCCACTGCCTTCCACTGCAGGCCAGCACAGCATTCCCCAGCCAGGGTTTTTCTTTTTCTGGATACTAAAGGGCTAGAGGGCTGGGCACAGTGGCTCACACCTGTAATCCCTGCACTTTGGGGGGCCAAGGTGGGTGGATCCCTTGAGGTCAGGAGTTCAAGACCAGCCCGACCAACATGGCAAAACCCCGTTTCTGCTAAAAATACAAAAGTTAGCCAGACATGGTGGTGCATGCCTGTAATCCCAACTACTCGGGGGTCTGAGGGAGGAGAATCATTTGAACCTAGGAAGTGGGGGCTGCAGTGAGCTGAGATTGCGCCACTGCTCTCCAGCCTCGGCAACAGAGCAAGACTCTGTCTCCCATCAAATAAATAATAAAGGGCTAGAGGCCTGTGCACATTTGGGTGCAAACTGAAAACCTGGCTGAGGAAGAGGAGGCAGTGCAGGAATCAGTGAGCCCCTCAGCCCAAGCTTTTGCCTTCATTACCCCTCTAGTGAGCCTGAGAAAGTTTCCTGGAAGTGGTAGGCTTTGAGCACCCCCAGGTCCAGGCACAACAGGAAGCATCCACCAAAATTTTCCCCATGAAAATCCCCCAGGCTGGCCTCTGCGTGATGCTACCGCACACGACTGGGGCTTACCTGTGCTCTACGCCTTCTCACCTCCCCCTGGCCAAGGAGAGCCTCCCAGCTAAGTGCCACCTTCTGGTCTCAGTGGCCATTACTACTCCTCTTCCTACAAGCTGCCAGCATGCCAGTGGATGCTATGTGAGGTGACAATTTGACCACAGCTGGAAGTGTTCAAACAGGATCTGATTACCTGCATGGGAGGAGACGACAGAGACAGTTTATGCATCAGATCAAGAATGGAACCAAGGAAACCCTTCATGCCATTTCAATTTTTTGAGACAGAGTTCTATGGACTCAGAAGGGACTTGGAGGCAGTAGGACAGACATAGGTTCAAGAGCTGTCACTTTGAGCTGTAGCAAGTCATCCCACCTCATTGAGCCTCAGTTTTATCAGTAAAATGGCAACGATGCCAGCCAGCCTCACAGGTTAGCAACTTAGCTGGAACCGGCCAAGAATCAGCCGGGCGCAGTGGCTCATACTTTGGGAGGCTGAGGCGGGCGGATCACTTGAGGTCGGGAGTTCAAGACAAGCCTGACCAACATGTGAAACCCTGTCTCTACTAAAAATACAAAATTAGCCAGGCATGGTGGCACATACCTGTAATCTCAGCTACTCGGGAGGCTGAGGCAGGAGAATCCCTTGAACCCGAGAGGCAGAGGTTACAGTGAGCTGAGACGGCGCCATTGCACTCCAGCAAAAAAAAAAAAAAAAAAGAATCTTTAATCCATTGGGAGGGTGTGATTCCCCAAAAGGCCACCCGAGGGCACCCTGTGAAAGGCTTCAAGGGTGCTTGGACGATCTGTTGGAGGCAGTCTTGAAAAGGAAAGCAGATGGGCAGGAGGAATAAAACGTTTGCCCGTTTCTCCCCTCCCTCTGTCAGTTAAGCCTGGGTGGCACCCCAGCTGGCCTACCTGCCTTCCCTCCCCCAGCCCCTCGCTGTGGGAAAATTACAGTCTTCCCCATGGGGCTGGGCTCTAGGTCCAGAACCTGTCGGCATGCACAAAGCCAAGCTCATGTCTTAAATAAATGCCAAAAAGTCCTAGCAGAATGTGTTCTGCAGCCACCAGGGAGCCTGTCTGCCCACCCACTGCAAGGAAGAGAAGGAGGACTCCTTTCCAGCAGAAGCCTGGGAGAGGGAGGAAGCTCCTGCCCCAAGACATACTGGAGCCCATTGGCAAGGCCCAGGAAGCCTGCGACTGGCTGGGGGACTATTCCCTCTCAGCAGGCATTCCCTGAGCACATGTGACCCCTGAGGCACTGGGGCATACAGAAGACACAAAAGAGGCCCACCCATGAAGGAGCTCGCAGCCTAATCACAAACCAGGGAGGCGTCACATGAGCTAAACAAAAATGACAAATCCTGAGCTTCTAAGGTCAAGATAGGAGGCCAAGTGCGGTGGCTGGCGCCTGTAATCCAGCACTTTGGGAGGCTGAGGCAGGCGGATCACGAGGTCAGGAGTTTGAGACCAGCCTGGCCAACATGGTGAAACCCCATCTCTACTAAAAATCCAAAAAACATTAGCTGGGCGTGGTGGTGGCATGTGCCTGTAATCCCAGCTACACGGGAGGCTGAAGCGGAGAATTGCTTGAGCAGGGGAGGCGGAGGTTGCAGTGAGCTGAGACCGTGCCACAGCCCTCCAACCTGGGCAACAGAGCGACACTCCATCTCAAAAAAAGGAAAAAAAAAAAAAAAAAAAAAAGGAGAGAGATCCAAGATGGCTGATCACTAGCAGCTCGGGATTGGAGCTCCCAGTGAAAGCGCAGAGAATGAGAGGACGCCACACTTTCAGACGACTTTTTGTTACTCACGGACCAGGAGATTCCCAGCGAAGGAGCCCCACGGGTCACCAGCACGACTCTTGTGGCCAGCGCAGTGGTTCATGGTGCAGAGTAAATGGGACTGGGTCCCCTTTTGGCCAACGTTTGGAGCTCCGGGAAGGCAGAGTCGCCTATTCAGCTGATTGAAGGACGGACTCGAGAAGGAAGCCAGACTGGAGATTCCCGGGCAGAAAAGCACCATCAATCTTAACGCCGCTGTTTTGACCGACGCAGTGGGTTGCTCAGATTTTAGCACTGGGAATCAACAAGTTGGACGTCCACTCAGAAACCTAATTAGAAAGTTGGTAATTACAAAGATGACAGATGGATAAATTTATAACGAAGGGAAGAAACCAGCCTAAAAAGGCTGAGAATACCCAAAATCAGAACGCCTCTCCCTCTACAGGGGATCACAGTTCCTCATCAGCAACGGAACAAGGCCTGATGGAGAACGAGTGTGTTCCATTAACAGAAGCAGGCTTCAAAAGGTGGGTGATAAGAAACTTCTGTGAATTAAAAGAACTTGTTCTAACCCAATGCAAAGAAACTAAGAACTCTGAGAAAAGGTTTGACGAAATGCTAACAATAGACAATTTAGAGAGGAATATAAGTGAATTAATGGAGCTGAAAAACAACATGAGAACTTCGTGAACTATGCACAAGTTTTAACCGCCGAATTGATCAAGCAGAAGAAAGGATATCAGCGGTCGAAGACCAACTTAATGAAAACGAGAAGATAAGATTAGAGAAAAAAGGATAAAAAGGAACGAGCAAAGTCTCCAAGAAATGTGGGACTATGTGAAAAGACCTAATCTACGTTTGATAGATGTACCTGAATGTGACGAAGAGAATCAATCCAAGCTGGAAAATACGCTTCAGGATATTATTCAGGAAAACTTTCCCAACCTAGCAAGGCAGGACAATATTCAACTCCAGGTAATACAGAGAACACCACAAAGACATTCCTTAAGAAGACCAACCTCAAGGCACATAATCGCCAGATTCACCAGGGTTGACATGAAGGAGAAAATACTGAGGGCAGCCAGAGAGAAAGGTCAGGTTACCCACAAAGGGAAGCCCATCAGACTCATAGCAGATCTCTCAGCAGAAACGCCACAAGCCAGAAGAGAGTGGGGGCCAATATTCAACATCCTTAAAGAAAAGAACTTTCAACCCAGAATTTCATATCCAGCCAAACTAAGCTTCACAAGCGAAGGAAAAATAAAATCTTTTGTGAACAAGCAAGCACTCAGAGATTTCATCACCACCAGGCCTGCTTTACAAGAGCTTCTGAAAAAAGCATTACACATAGAAAGGAACAACCAGTATCAGCCTTTCCAAAAATATACCAAAAAGTAAAGAGCATCAACATAATGAAGAATTTACATCAACTAATGGGCAAAACAGCCAGCTAACATCAAATGGCAGTATTAAACTCACATATATTATTATTAATCCTAAATTTAAATCGACTAAATTTCCCAACCAAAAGACACAGCCAAAACCCATCGGTATGCTGCGTCCAGACCCATCTCACATGCAAGGATACACAAAGACTCAAAGGGATGGAGAAAGATTTACCAACCAAATGGAGAGCAAAAATAAAAAAATAAATAAAAAGCAGGAGTTGCAATTTTTGCCTCTGATAAAACAGACTTTAAAGCAACAAAGATCAAAACAGGCAAAGAAGGACATTACATCATGGTAAACGGATCAATGCAACAAGAAGAGCTAAGGATCCTAAATATATACGCACCCAACACAGGAACACCCAGATACATAAGACTTATAAAGAGACTTAGACTCCCACACAATAATAATGGGAGACTTCAACATCAAAATTAGACAGATCAACAAGATAGAAAATTAACAAGGATATCCAGGACTTGAATCCAGATCCAGAACAAGTAAACTTAATAAACATTTATAGAACTCTCCACTTTAAATACACAAAATATACACTCTTATCAGCACCACATCACACCTACTCACAGGTTTAAATGAAATATTGGTTGGCTGCTTGTTTGTTATTTTCTTCTCTCATTTTTTTTCCTGTCTCTATTATTAAGCACAATTATTGGTATAAAAGAGGTTTTCAATACCCATTTTTAGACTGCATACTAGCCTGGGCAATAAAGCAACATTCCAGTTCTCTCTCCCTCTTCCTCTTCCTCTTTCTTCCTCTCCTTCATTCTTTTATTTATTTTTCTTTTTCTTTTTTTCCTAAAAAAAAAAGAAAAAGAAAAAAAAAGATGAAAGGAGATGGAGTCAGTAGAACCATCTGCAACTAACACAGCCACCCAGGGCCAGGACCGTTGTTCAAGAAGCCAAGAAGTTAGCCTTCTCTTGGCTTTGGTGTCTTAGTTCCTTTGTGCTGCTATATACTACAGACTGAGTCACTTACAAGCAACAGAAATTTATTTCCCACATTTCTGGAAGCTTAGAAGTCCGAGATCAAGGCACCATCAAGCTTGGTGTCTGGTGATGGCCCAGTCTCCACTTCCGAGACAGTGCCTTGTTGCTGCTGCATCACGGAGGCTGTGTCCTCACATGGTGGATGAGACGAACTCGCCCCTCAGGCCTTTTCATAATGTTGCTAATCTCATCAAGAGGGCTCTGCCATCATGACTTAATCATCCTCTAAAGGCCCCACCTGTTAATTCTGTCACATTGGTGATTAAACTTCAACATATGAATCTGGCCGGACCTTCAGATCATGGCACTTGGCCTCATCCTGCTAACCTGTGGCAGGGGGCAGATGAGGATAGAGCCTGTCTGGGGCTTCTCAGGTGGGTGGGGTATAGGCTTTGCTTCTGGAGTCTGTCACGAAAGATCTCAATAAGCCTATAGGCCTCAGCAGCCAGTGGTCAGGGCTGAGGACAATGGAGGTCATCCCCTGAGATGTAATGGGAAGGGAGTTCCCAAGCAGAATCCATAGTGAGAGAAGAGAACACACAGGACTGCATGGCTGGGGCCTCGGCAGAGACACAGAGCAGAGCACTCTCTGGAGCAGGAGGCCCACACGGCGTAGCATCCCTCCCCAGCCATGCTTCCCTGGTATTTGGGCAGGCCTCCCTACACACTGAATATGAGCCTCAGGATGGGCTGGAGGAAGGGGTTTCTGGTTCCTCTGCCTCTTCTGGGCCTGAGCTTGTGGCTGTCACTGCCTGGGTGGTATCCAAGGCTCTGCTGTCTGTCCATAGCATCTGGACCTCGCATCTGTCCACACCCAATGCTTCAGGCACGGTCCCTCCGCCATTGGTCACGTCCAGCTTGACCAAGGCTGCTCACCTGCACTTTACATTCCAATATATGCTGTGAGTGTGTCCTCTCTGGGCAGCCTCCCACCCTCCCTTACTCCCCAGGGGCTCCTCCTCTGACCCTGTGCACTTCCCCTGCTTCCTCCACAGTTAGGGGTACCACCATCCGTCCAGTCACCTGGGAGTCATCCCAGGCTCAAGTGATCTGAGGACGAAGAATTGACCACTGGGATTGGCAGTGAGGCTGGTGCCCTTGTTTGTTTTTGAGCCAAAGTCTTGCTCTGTCGCCCAGGCTGGAGTGCAGTGGTGTGATCTTGGCTCACTGCAACCTCCACCTCCTGGGTTCAGGAGATTCTCCTGCCTCAGCCTCCCGAGTAGCTGGGATTACAGGTGCATGCCACCACAGCTGGATAATTTTTGAATTTTTAGTAGAGATGGGTTTCACTATGTTGCCCAGGCTGGTCTTGAACTCCTGACCTCAAGTGATCTGCCCGCTTCAACCTCCCAAAGTGCTGGGATTGCAGACGGGAACCACTGTGCCCGGCCCCAAGAGGACTTTATATCTTCTCAGGCTTCCAGATTAACAGGCACGCTCATTCTGCCAAGCTGGTTCATTTCCTCACATGCTCACTGAGCCCTCCACAAGCCAAGGATGGGGCTGGATGTGAAGTCTGGAAACCCATAGATAATTCAGATCCGAGCCCTGCCACTGAGTCACTCCTAGCCCATGGAGAGAGCTCTGCACAGCTGTGAATCTCCCTGACTGGGTAGATGTGGTGACAGCTGCAGGAAAGGGAACCATGTGACCTGGGAGTATGGGCAAAGGATTCCAGCTGCAGAATCCTGTAGGAATGGTTATTTGTCTTGTTCTGCCTGGCCACAGAGTGAGCAAGTTGAGAGAAAGCACCTTGTCTTACACATCCCCTCTCTTAGACATAATTGCCCTTAAAAAATTTGAGTTAGCTGGGCGCGGTGGCTCACAGCTGTAATCCCAGCACTATTGGAGGCCAAGGTGGGCAGATCACGAGGTCAGGAGTTTGAGACCAGCCATGACCAACATGGTGAAACCCCATCTCTACTAAAAATGCAAAAATTAGCCAGGTGTGGTGGCGCTCGCCTGTAATCCCAGCTACTCAGGAGGCTGAGACACGAGAATCGTTTGAACCCAGGAGGCAGTGGTTGCAGTGAGCTGAGAACATACCACTGCACTCCAGCCTGAGTGACAGAGCGAGACTCCGTCTCAAAAAAAAAAAAAAAAAAATCTGTGAGTTTGTGGTCCTCTGGCTGCTTCTGCTTCCTAGTGGCTGGGGGCAAAGTTTTAAAAACAAAACCCGGCTGGGCACAGTGGCTCACACCTGTAATCCCAGCACTTTGGGAGGCTGTGATGGGCAGATCACTTGAGGTCAGGAGTTTGAGACCAGTCTGCTCAACATGGTGAAATCCCGTCTCTACTAAAAATACAAAAATTAGCTGGTCATGTTGGTGCATGCCTGCAATCCCAGCTACTCGGGAGGCTGAGGCAGGAGAACCGCTTGAACTTGGGAGGTGGAGGTTGCAGTGAGCCAAGATTGTGCCACTGTACTCCAGGCTGGGCGGCTGAGGAAGACTCTAAGCAAAACAAAACAAACAAAAAAACACAAAAACCCAAACTGGCAGAAAAGATAAGTACTTTAGAGTCAGGTAACTGTGGGTTCTTTTTTTTTTTTTTTTTTTTTTTAACAGGGTCTGGCTCTGTCACTCAGGCTGAAGTGCAGTGGCATGATCTCAGCTCACTGCAACTTCCACTTCCCAGGCTCAAGCAATCCTCCCACCTCAGCCGCTGAGTAGCTGGGACTACTGTTGTGCACCACTGTGCCCGGTTAATTTTTGTATTTTTGGTAGAGACAGGGTCTTACTATGTTGCCCAGGTTAGTCTCGAACTCCTGAGCTTAAGCAATCCGCCCGCCTTGGCTTCCCAAAGTGCTGGGATTACAAGCATGAGCCACCACACCAGCCAGCTGTGAGTTCTGAGTCGTTTTCACACTGACTAGCTATGCCGTGTGACCTCAGACAAGTCATGTTACGTTTCTGAGTGTCATCATCAGTAAAAGAGGGTAATACTATTTATACAGATTTGTTTATAGAATTAAATCAGGTGACCTCTGTAAAGCCCCAACTGTCTGGCACTTAGGTGGCCTTCAGTAAAGCTTAATTCCTAGATTATTTCTTTCAAAACAGTGATTTGCCCTACGTGAAGGCACTGCAAGAAGATAGTGGTAAAAATGAAATGTAATAGACAAACTCTCAGTAATGACCCACTTGCACCCTTTCCAACCAATGGGCATTTACTGACCACCCACCTTCTGGGTAACAGGCCTGGTGTCCAGTGCTGGAACAGTGGAGAGGCGCTCAGAGGTTCAGAGCTGAAAAGTCAGTTCCAGGAGGGCAGGGACTTCTTGTTGGCCATTGTATTCCCAACCCTTAGAATAGGCCAGGAACATAGTAGGTGCTCAGTATTTGTTGAATGAATGAATGAATGAATGAATGAATGAATGAATGAGTGAATGAAAAGTACAATCCAGTGGGCCTCTGACTCATTTTTAAAAACTTGAGCCAAGTCCCTTGACCTCTCTGAGCTGGTGTGTGTCCCCATCAGTGAAGCCAGAGGTGTTTAAGTCATCTCGAGGTCCTGCTGAGCAGAATTAATAGAGCAATAATATTAATAATAGCAACAGTCATACTTAAACACATGGAGCACAGCTATGGAGGGAATAACATGTAACGTCCACGTTATAGAAGAAGAAACTGAGACATAGGCATAGAAGGCTCCTGGAGAAGCGGGCGTTTCATGATGTTTTGGAAGAAAGACTGGGGATCGGACATAGTAGTAGAGAAGAGGATCCACGACCCAGAGGAAAAGGCCTTGTTCCAGTGCCATCGCGCCGCGCAGCCTGCGGACATTGTAGGAGGGACCAACGCCGTCCGGAACCCGCCCAACCCAGCCTCCGGCATCTCCATGGCAACAACCTCCGCACATGCGCCGTGAGCACCGGCGCCAGAGCTGGCAGCGCGCGCCGAAGCCGGACGCAGGCGGGGCGGAAGCGGGCCGGGTGGGCTGGGGCGGCGGGAGCGCGGGTGGGCGTTTAAAGGAGCCTTCGGCACCCGGTTCGGTTCGCCGCCGGGACTGCTGATGGCGAGGGCTAGATGGCCCCGGGAGTCGGGATCTAGAAGGTAAAGGAGAAACCGGGGTGTCTGACTCCCGAAGGTGACAAGGGGAGACGGGCTGTGTAAACACCCTCCCTGGTCAGTAATGGGATGACTGTCCCCAGAGAGCACTGCAGAGGAGAGAGGGGCTGTAGGACCGCACTTTCTGGGGCCCCCGGGGAGAGTCAGAGGGCAGTTAAGAGGGATCACAGGCCCGGCTTGGGACGGTCACCCCCCTTTCCACTCCCTGCTGTCAGCATTCTGCCACCTCCCTACCGCATCGTGGTGCCCAGCCATGGCCAGACCTCCCGTGCCCGGTTCGGTGGTTGTCCCAAACTGGCACGAGAGTGCCGAGGGCAAGGAGTACCTGGCTTGCATTCTGCGCAAGAACCGGCGGCGGGTGTTTGGTAAGTGCCTCCCCCTTTCCTCCAGCCTGTTACTTGTCACTCCCCGGGGAGAAGAGTATCAGCTGTTGCTCCCTGAGTGGAGCAGAGAGGCAGCGCAGTGAGGGCCTGCTCCACTGCAGTCTTCAGCAGTCTTCAGCCTGGGGGACTGAAAGCCCTATCCCTGGGATCCCCACCCCTGAATCTCCTTAAAGCTAATTCCATCATCAGAGCCAGGAACATGGAAACAGCAGAAACCCTGTCAGCAACCACTGTCACCAGAGATGCAGTTGACTGAGCCTTCCCCTCGTGCCAGGGCTCCTGCTGGGCACTTTACACAGTGCACTCCCATTTAACCTCTCAGCAGCACATGGTACAGACTTGGCTAAGATCACGCCCTAGTAAGTAGAGGTGAGCCTCTTCCATGTCCTGCTGTTTCTGGGATGAGACACTGGTGTTCCCCATGGTGAAGCTGACCCTCCCAGGCAGGGCCCGGCTCTGAGGCTGCCAGAGGTACCTGGAATGAGCTGCGGAGTCCAGTTCTGGCCAGGAGAAGCAAGGCGCCAGAAGGCTTCAGACCAGAGAATGAGATAGCTAGAACCAAAATTTGTCAATATGTCAACTGTGTGGTTTTTTTTTAAGAAATTACACTAGACTGAAAATATGACCCTCTGGAAGGCCGGGCACAGTAGCTCACGCCTGTAATCCCAGCACTTTGGGAGGCTGAGGCGGTAGATCACCTGAGGTCAGGGGTTCAAGACCAGCCTGGCCAACATGGTGAAACCCTGTCTTTGCTAAAAATACAAAAATTAGCTGAGCATGGTAGCAGGCACTTATAATCCCAGCTACTCCGGAGGCTGAGGCAGGAGAATCGCTTGAACCCGGGAGGTGGAGGTTGCAGTGACCCTAGATGGAGCCATCGCACTCCAGCCTGGGCGACAAGAGCAAAACTCCGTCTCAAAAAAAAAAAAAAAAAAAAAAAAAA